AACCCTTTCGATTTGTCGAGCACGCGACTTAACACCAGAGAAATGCTGACAGCTGAATTTACAATAGACATTTGTTTGAAACTCTGATTGACGAACAAAGAGAAGAATATTAAATTTAGATTTAAAACCCTAGGGAAGTCTCATATTGGAAAATATAAATAGAAAAAGATATTATCCACAGGGAAGAGAATATATCTGAAAACAGCGCAACGAATTTATAAAATGAATTCATCCAATCTGTGTAAATTGAATCCGTTAATGATTAGCTAGCTGACGCAAACGTAAACAAAGCCAAAAATGGTCTATCGCCGAATCGAGTATTGGAACTGGATATTTTACGATTCGGTGCAAACGAGGACACGGACCCTGTTGCATTAGGTCAGCCATCGAAACGGACCTATACAGGTAGGCGAGAGTGAATCATACCTTGCTTCTCTGACCGTACATTGGAATGTAACATCGGACCAATTTTGACTCTCGCATGGCCCGCTTCTCGCTATGCTTTCCTTGCTACTTTGCATAGATGTGATACACGATTATCGAAACATGTAAATACGATTGATACGCGTATCATAACATCGTCATTTCCGATGTACCTAATATACGTATCTATCAGTGCAAGATATGAGACGCGAGACAGATCGGCGTACTTCCGCCTTTGGTTGACCGCCTTGCGACACAAAAGCCACAAGCGGACAACCAACGATATGAAATATTAAGGACGTATGTAACAAGGAGAAACTGGTTCGTGAAAAACAGGCTCGCCCGGTTCGGTTTCCATCGATTCTAGATTACGAACCAATGTCGAACAATCGATCCTAAACATATCACGTGCCCTGGGCCCAGTGGCGTCGCGATCTAGATAGTAAAGAAACAGGTGTTTCCCATATACTTCCCCATCGACTAATATGTAATATCATCGTATCAAGGGAATGTGGAAACGCGGCTAAGAAAAGGCATGTGCGTCGACTGTATCCTAATATGTGGTGTGAAATTTTTTCAAGTCTCGAAAGATTATCAAAAGGATTTGGAATCCAACGATTCACTCTCTATTCATAGTATCTTGTTAGATTGCATATTTCATTCAATTATAGAAAACTTGTATACATGAGAAAAAATAAACAAATATATATAATATTCAAACATACAAAAGATAAGAAGTCCCTAAGGAATGTAGGACATTCCTGTTAGATTTCATTATTTACATTGACACTATAAATGCTTTATTGTGCATTTATAGTGTAAAAAACCGCAGTTCAATCATTGTGTTCACGTAAGTTGAGCTAAGGCGAATAGTCAAGGGTTGAGCCCTACATTCATCCCTATAAACTGGGTCAGGGATGCGCGTACACCTAACAGCATAAAGCTCTCCGAAGCCATCGAGATCATTACGTATTCGCGATTATCTTTACGAGTAAACGAGGTGTCCATCGACGAGTATTTAATAACGCGCAATCGTAACGAGCTTAGAGAACCTAACGAGGAAGCAGTTCGCGAGCGAACCAACCTGTTTCCTGCTACTCGGCTCAGTGATTCGATGAATTACGATGAAAGTTAGTTCCCCGTTTGTTTTACTTCGCTTTGTTTCGCCTCTCGTCGGCGATAGCGTGCCCAGCCACGGATCAAGACTATTACATAAACTCGCTAAACTAAGGTTCCATAATGTAATCCAAGAATAAATCTGTTAGCTAACGAGTAACGCTCACTCTACGCCCTGTTATCTCTCTCTTTCTATTTCTATTTTATTTTTTTCAGTTGCTCATTCATTGAAAACGATGATAAGTTTCTACGAAAGCAAGAAAAATCAAGAAAAAGAAATAATGTGATAAATAAAATTCGAGAAGTTGGAAACTAATTTCCTAATTCATTTCTTTTCTAAACAGTTAAAGTTCGATGTATAAAAACCCTGTAATTTAAATGAGTAAGTTGTTTATAACGCATATTAATGTAATGGTACTTAAGTAGCAAGTGTCTTTATTGTCTGTATAATCTGGACTATCTCGCTAATTGTAATAATCAACTTGATACATCTGTGAATACGCATACGGAATAAATAAGATGATACAAAATTCTGGTACAAATCTTGCATTGAAGTTCGCAGGCCTTCTATTTGATACTCTGGTACAATCAATTTTCATTATTTTACTTTGTGCTATTCAAAGATCGGGAATATCCAATGGTCTATCTATAAAATGCTAAGTTTCTCGGGTATCGAACGCGTTTACCTTTCAAGAAATTATGCATCGTTCAAAGAACAATGCTCGAGGTTACCGCAAGCCGAGGAGAATCTTCGCGATCGTGAAAGTGTACAAAGGAATAGTTGAAAATGATCGATAATCCAGATACTGGTCGCGTAACTTCGTGTAAATCGATTATTCTGGTCTTCCCGATTTATACCAATCGCTTAAATTGCAAACGGACGATCACCAAACTGACAATAAGTAGCTTACGGAAAATTATGACGAAAGAGTGGTGTAAGTAAGCGCTTACTTTTTAATGCAGTCAAGAACAGGTTCAGCGCAGTAGGGTAAAAACGGGAACTGATAGCACCGATAAATCGATATTATCGCAATAGACATTTTCTGCGACGATTAAATAGAAAAGGAGGGAGATGAATATAACCCTGAGAAGTGAGCAACTCCATTTTTCATAGATTTTCAACACTTCATATCAACGCATATGATTATTACTTCAATTTCAAGCGACTGCTTATACAAAGAAAATGAAGTTGGTCAGTTCGGCATTCGTATACCTTAGGAGCTCGAGTGGCTCTTGACGTAAGAGACAATGGATCATAAATTGTAAAAGCAGGTAATAAAAGGAAAATATTTTCTGTCAGGAAAAGGCTCTCCATGATACACGAGAATGTTGCCAATTGCAAATGGATTTTTTATTAATTCATTAGTTCATAGCGTACGTATTTGTTGCATGCATTTTGATCTATGTATGTATTGACATATAAAACCACTTTGTCTAATTTAACAATATTTGACATATGCCGAGACATGCGTGTGCGATAGGAACTTCTATTTCGACGAGTTGGAGACACACACACGATCACGATATTCGTGAAAACCGGTCCCTCATCTGTCGTAATTGAATCATTTCTATGCACAATATGTATTCAGTATTTACGTACTGATTTCTCGGTAAATAAACTATGGAGGAAACGCGATGTGTTTGACCGATCGAGGCTCATGCACCGGGGCGATACGTCAACGATAAACGCGGTCTCTCGGCCAGCGTGCTCCTGACAGACGGACGAAAGCAAAATGTAGGGTTAGGTTTATCGTGAGCACGAAAACAACAGCCCAGAGGGGAAGAAAATGTTTTGGAGCCAAATCGGAGGACGACAGGAGATGAGGAGGAACGAAAAAACCGAGGCGACTCCTCTAGAGAACGTGTACACTTCCACCGGTGGGTAACCCCTTCCCCTAGAGCCTGATTTTCTGGATACTTACCACGGTTACACGAGCGTGCATATAAGCGTACGATCGTACATGGACACGCACGGTGCGCGCGAGCGCTGCACTATACACGTATACGAACGAGCACACCGCCAGAACGAAACCCACACCCACTTGCGCCGCTTAGGTATAACGCGATACACGCTCTCGGGTTATATGTGTATCACTGGTCCGTTAAAATGAGATACGTACACGTTGAAAGGTGTGTATGTATGAGCGTGTTCGGGAGCAGCACGCGTTTATCTAAGGTAATATCCCGGCGCGTCGACGTCGAGATGTGCGCGACGACGAGAGGAAACAGGCGGTGAAAAGGACGGTAGCAGCACCAGCGGTTCAAGCCTCGTCTGCCGCATGCAGCGGGTCTCCGATCTGAGATCGGTGACGAACGCGAGGAACACACCCGGGAGACGGTGGTGATCGCGTACCTCGGTGGTCGCACATCGGTACTTGGTCGTGTGTAGAAGTCGCGCGCTCTCACTCGCTCTCTCTTTCTTTCTCTTCTTTTCTTTTCCCTCCCGCTCTCCACCTAGCACTCTCGCTCGCTCTTTCTCTCCCACCCTATCTCTCTCCCTCACTCTATCGCCGGGCTCGTTTCTCTCCCTGTCCGTCTCGCTCGTTCTCTCTCCGTCACTCTCTTTGAGTGTCCGTCAGTAACCTAGAAAGCGGTGGCGGCGGCCATTCAGGATTACGGGACTCCGTCCGTACGTCCGTCTTGTCCGAGCGAGAGAACAAGTTACCGACCAAGTACAACCTATGTCCCGGTTCCGTCCAAGATATCCCAATGGATTCTGACCGTTCCTTCAACCGACTGTGAGGCCAACTACGAATACGACTAATTTTCACGCCGCGAACGCGCATACGCACATTGAACTACGAAACTGGATGACGCGACGACGTTGCCCGTTGCTCGCGGTCGAACGACGGGAACGCGTACCCGATCGGCGAAAATGATGCTCAAAGTCGTTCCGAACGTATTCCACAAAAATAACACTGTACTCCTTGCACACAGGCACTGCTCACTAAGCCGCGATCTATCGCTCTCTCTTTCAAGAGAGAGCGCACCTTCGCCACGACAGATCGCCGATTCGCCACTACGGAGCAATGGGTGTGCTGCCTCTCTTGGCAGCGTTCTCGCGTTACGCTTGTCGCGATAAATAAAAAATCGTACGATCCTTAAGTCGAACCGCTTTCAATACAACAGATATTTACCCATTTGTGACAGATTTTCCGTACGAGACGCACCACATTAACGACCGTCCCCCACCTATGACCACATACAGACATTACCACACTTCGATTTTTCAAGATGGCGACGCATCCATCGTCGGCCCGAGACACGATGCGGACAGGCCGTTAAGCCGCAGCGCCTCGATCGCTGCCGACCAATGGCATTCCGCAACGACAGACGATGTAGTTCGCCCGCGAAATTACGAATTGCCGATAGCTTTGAAAGAAACATTCTTCGAACCCGAATATGTAATCTTTTCCGAGCGAAGGTGTGATTTCTAGGAAGGACATACATCTTCTTATCAATATTTTTCTACGAATATTATTCGACAATGCGTACACTGATACAGTTTTGCTCCGTTCGTTTTGAGACTCATCTCAAAGCATGTATAATAGAGGATATGTCTGGGAACATAATCTAATGGATAGCAAAATATTTTTGTAGCAACTCCTCGTAAATCTCTTTGTCAGATTTCAGGAATAGGCAGAAGATCACTCTATCTACCTGTAACGTTTCAACCAGCGATCAGTATCTGTTGCCTAATTTCATGATTTATATATCATTGAGATATAGAATCTTACTGCGTCTTTGTTATCGAGTAGGAACTTCTTGACTGTAGACAGAGCTACTTTGGCTGCCGGTCTTTGAGGATATCCGTAAATTCCCGTTGATATGCAAGGGAAAGCAATAACGCGCAACTGATTTTCCTTGGCAACCTCGAGACTGTTCTCATAACATTCTCTCAACTTTTCAGGTTTTTCACCTTGCGGGCCGACCGTATGAATGATATCTAAAACATTATACCTATGAAAAAGCTAATCCCCTTAATCATCGATCGGATATACTAACATTTAGCAGGCAACATGTAACCCCCGGTTATTTTAGCCTCTCCGACCTGACATCCTCCGAAAGTGGCACACTCTCTCTTTAAATTTGACCCCGCGCCTCTGTGGATAGCCCCATCAACTACAGAATATATTTGATACTCTTTAATATATCATCTCCTGGCCTCATAATTGATAGGAAACGTTTGTATATACCTCCGCCACCACCGAGAAGAGACGAGTTGGCGGCATTCACAATTGCATCTATCTCGAGAGATGTTATGTCACCTTGCCAAATTGATACTTTCTTAGCTAGTTCCTCATCGACTTTTTCAACTCTTTCTAAGTTCATTAGACCAATATTCCCTTTGTTCTTATTCCAGTATTCCAACCATGTCGGAATCGCATCTATCGTGTTCACGGTTCCCTTATACAACTTTCGCTTTTCCTCTACCGGCATGGTTAAAAATTTCTCTGTACAACATAGCGATATAACTATAATGAACGTTCTTATCTGCATCGCCTGTCTCATAGTTCTCTGTCCATTTGCAAAAAGCGTGAACTTAACTGAACTATTTATATTCATATTTCGACGTTCAATATCGACTCGAAACAAGCAATATTTACGTAACTATCGAAATAAACAAGATGATCATGTGTTTGGCTTACGTTTCTCAACTTCGAACGACATCCTCTCTTCGGGGTTGACAGATGTTACGAAACTCTTTCCACTCAAGATATTCTGAACTAAAATCGGCCGGAAGACGGTGATTGCGGTACGATCGGCGATGAGTATCGCCTGGAAATCAGAAATAAATTCTTCTCTCACTACGCAGTTCCCTCGGCCCTTGGTATCCCCTCGTCCCTTACTCTGAGAGCCAACATAGTCTTCCGTTCGTTAAAAAAGCTTTAATGACCTTTGTCAATCATCGATTTGTACCTCCACCTACGAGAAGTCCCACCGCAATTCCGCCAAGCTGTTCGCAACGTACTCGGGTCTTTAAATCACGTAAACTCTGCGTTATCGCGTTGTTTTGTTTCTATCTTTCAGCTGTGACCGGTGATGAACCTGATGAACGTAGAGGCAAACCGCGAATGCAACTGAACCGTAAACGGAGACATCTAATGGACGATTCACACGTTTGTGGATTATTTTCAGTGCAAATAGCGTCATCTGACGATGGACTGGGGCAGCGAATTCAAATTTGCGCAATTGTTCGCGCGCGAAATCAATTCATTATTTTTTAACTTGATCTAATACGGTTTTTTTCAGTTTCACTGTATGTACTTTCTCTACATCAAGTTTCTTTAATTTTTCAATTTTATGCCTTTGGAACTTCCCTACGCAAAAGTATTTTGCTGTAATTTATAAATGACTATGTGGGTGTTAGGCGTGGGAGTAGATGACACGTGTCGTGACTTGGCTACTGTCCAGGTACCAGTGAAACGAATTTAATTATGCCAGATCAACTGCCGTGCCCTTTGCGGAAATTTTACTTATCGAAAGGTAAGGTGGCACGGCGTTGTGGCTAAATTACTTCCTATTATCGTAAGGTTCCTTTTAGAGATCTCAAGGAACTTATTTCATCGATGATCCACTTGAGGTCTTTAAAGAGGGTCGACTACGGTTCTTCCATACGCGTTCAGGTAATCGACTAACTTTAGGAAATTGGGTCAGTCTAACATTTCTAAATGCTGAGAAATAATGACGAGTTAATCTTGAATGTTTAACGACCCACCTACGCGATCTTTCGATTCGTATCAAATGTGCCCTATACTATCGTCATTTACATTATTACGAGGGTCGTTATGATCGCCTACGTATTGCAATTCTTCTTTGCCTTTCAATGTTAATAAAATGCGGCGCAACAATCTTTACTTACTGTATTAGGTTCATATAGGTGCATATAGTTCTTTCTTCAAACTTCAAAGATCTTTCTGTAGAATACATAAGTATTACGTATTTGAATCAAATAATTTCTCAATTACTTTTACACATTCCTGAATGATCGAACAATTTATATAATGACTTATAATAGTAGGTGATGAGACAAAAACGGAAAAAATTCGAAAATGCAAGCGTCAGAAACAATCATTTATATACTTGTTATTTAAAAATGTTTATCAATGAAACCATGTATATATGTGTTACAAAACTAAAGTCGTGGTCTCCCAAAATAAAGAAGAGCTGGTGGACTCCCCCATTCATCCCTTATCCGTTCGATAAGCATGAATCATCATGGCTCGAAGTGGCCTTAAGTATGTATAGCCGAAACACATAAAATGAATGAATGCCAACGCGGACGCCAACGCGGACGCGAATGCCGACGCCGACGCCGACGCCGACGCCCGACGTCACCGGCAACGCCACCCTGAAGTGAAATGACGAAGGAACAACTTTCCACCCGTGCTTTTCTGTACATACAGCGCAGGCAGACATCGCAGCGCATGCTAAAAGCTTCTACTATCGATCCGTGTGCGTCCCAGTATTCGTGTTCGGCTCACAAGCTTCGCGAACGTCGTCAAGGTGAAATCGTCTTGAGTCACTTGAACGAGCAGTGGGATACTTAACATCAGCGTTGCGAGCCGAGGGTGAAAATGATACGTCGTGCAGATTACACTAAGGGGTTACTCGTACTATGTGAGTTTTCTCGATTGATTCGTTGTAATTCCTCATTAATTCGTTGGTGTCTGTATTGTTCCGAGATAATAGTTGGTCTTATTGTAAGGGAACCGAAAATTTCGAAGGTCGAACTGTCAACGAGCTTCATTACGGCGCAATAGACGCAACGATTGACCCATACTTACTATCAATTTTTGATAATTCCGAAATTGGTTCTATTGTTGTACTTTCTTTTGTTCTTATTATGATAAGATTACATTAAGCTCGTGAGGGTTTCAATGACCACAGTCGGAAGGGTAGCTAAATTTGATCGAAACATTCACTGCAGTCTGTACTTTTTGAATTCATCAATCACATTCTCGTTGTCAATATAACATTTAGACTGTTAATAATTGTTATTTTGTCGGGGAAATAGTAACGTGACCTATCGGTTCGCGTGACGTATCATCGGGTTTTCCAGAATGATAAGAAGAGTTTTATGCCGATATGCCGTGCATTAGTAGCGTGATCTGTAATTTTCACGGGGCGTTTTCTGTGAAGTCAACTACCCCGAATTATTCGTAGGAGGGGTAAGGAACTTTTAATGAAAAAGTCATCGACGCGCGCATCTCTTTGGCGGACGTTCATGTACGGATTGGCAAAAAACTTACCCCGATATAGAACCTGAATTCTTCTATTTTTATAAATTACGCGTCAACAAACTTTTTTTATATCAATTAATCCGCGATTACAAAGTTATCCTGACCAATCCCAACTTTTTTAGTGTTATTTTTATCGCGGTACTTAATAGTAGATAAATATACGGAATATCGTAATGATTTTAAGACTGATACGTAGATCTTAGCTGAATAGAACACCTTGTTTCTCGATGCGTTGTCACAACCAAGTTAATAGACTGCGTATTTGAAATGTTTGTAAAATCAACATCGAATGTATAAAATTATATGAAATATCAATATTTATATTGATATTAATATGAAATATAATTGCATATTGCCATAAAATTTTCTTAAAAATCCGCAGTCTATTCCAGTTTGTTGATATCAACTTGTAAAACGTGTTTAGCATCGAAAGAAAGAAATAGTTTTCTTCGCAGGGTGTGTATTCAATACAGCGTACAGTATACCTTCTTTGACGCTGACGCCGACGCCGACACCGACGTCGACAAAAGTGGATGAACAGCTATACACGACGCGTCGAACACCAAAGGTTGTCATCGAGTTGCCCGTTTCGAAGTCCAGGCTTCTTTTGGTAAGGACACTTGCTGTGGGACATAAACAACCCTGTTAATTATCCGCGTGACATCGGGGAATATTTTATCGTAGCCGGAGAATGCGTGCACCTAGTTTAAATGCTTTTCGTGATCGATACGCATGTATGAATAATTATGTAAATGGATTCGTGGTAAAAAAGCAGTCAAATGTAAAAGTACAATTCATTAACATTTTCATGATGCTAACATTCTGATAACGATTAAATCGCGGATTTTATACAGTTATGGAAAAATTGTAGAAAATATTAATGCACATAATATATAAAAATATATGAAACATCAAAAGCCACATGTAAGTCACAATACTTGAATGATGAAAGAAATTCCTATCTAAATCATTTTTTAAATTGACACATAAAAATCTTTAGTCTAATAATAATAATATAATACGTTGAATACGAATTTAGTTTTTCATTATTATTTCTATACAGTTTTGCAAAGCGTAGTCCTGCGAAATTCATAGACATTCATCGAACTCGCTATGATTCGTGATAATCCGTTTAAATAATGTACATGAGACGATATACACGAACTCGATGTTAAACGCGATCGCGAGCGATAACTTGAATTTTTTTAACAAGGATAGCCTGTTGCTTCTCGAGCACCGTTATCGGAACTATATATGTACGTATACGAGTTCGACCACATTTAATATGCCCAGCGGATACTTGACAATTCGCGATTTCTTGTAAAGTAGGAAAATAAAGGGGTAGCGTGCAGCCCTTGCGTTGAAAGGTATAGATTAGGGTAACAAGCGAATGATAAGGTTTAAAAGGTAGAACTTTCCATTAAAATGTTTTAGAATCCTTTTAATCCACGTGAAATCGTTCCGCTTGGTCACGAAACTCGTTTACGTACTACATTGACTCACACGATTGATCAAACTATATTTGATGTCGTTCATTGGTATCTGCTTGGTTCAACAACATTATGAATTAATCCAGTTGCATCATAATGGTACTAATGTAAATGGTTTAGCGATGTACAAGGAATCCAAAAGAACGTTTCAATTATTCTCTATAAATTTGTATCCTCAAACTTAAACGACTAATTTAACGTTTTAAAGCCGGCGGTGAATTTCAAGCTAAAAAGCACTACCGTACCAATTATCCGCACTACGATGACATCGGAGTTATTGTCGACGACGCACAGATCGTTCTCCACGGAGGAACCACTTTACCGTTTGGACGGCAGCAACGGACAAGCGTGTATCCTACTGCAAGTGGATGCTTTGATTACAGTGAAATATCGAACGAAGGTTGGGGAGGAACAGGTAAATTCCCGTTTTCCTCTAATCAGCGAAAGGTCGAAGTTCAATCGGTCTACTGTCATTAGGAGGCGAACATTTACGTCCCGAACGATGCAACCGTAACTGGGAATTGCGATAACGAAAACACAGTGACGATGTCCCTAAAGTGGCGGGCCTTCGTGTTATCGTGGAGCTTCGCAAAGGTAATTTGTTTTCAAAGTACGATTCTTCCTTTTCCCATTTCTTCCGAAAACAGGTCGATCAATACAGAAGAAAATTACACTTTCAGACACCCGGCGGCGAACGATGGTACGTCGAAAAGATCGAATTGACGTACAACTCCAGTGATCGACATTTCGAGCATACCGATCAACCGAGTAAGTTGATATTTCTCTGATCTCATAATTAGATACTAAACTATTTTCGAATCGTTTCTAGATAAAACGATTCGAGTGAGTACCGGACAAAGGCACAGCTCCATGCTGTTCCCGACACCAGTTGGAAAATCGTATTCATGCGACGTCAAAGAAATCTCTCTGACTGATGGCAAGAATAATGCTATCTTATCCCTCAGGTAATTAGTAATTGAAAAATTACGATTAATTATAATTAATTAATGATGTGCGCATTAACAAAGGAGCTTGTTTAAAAAATTTTAGAGACATGAAACTGCAACCGTTCAAGTTTAAGAATAATGAGTTCGCGGCGGAATTCTCGTGCACGTCGCTCAGCGCTCGCGGATTTCGTGACGAAACGGCGCCTGTGGCGGTCGGCTCGACGCTCGCAGCAGCCACTCTCCTTACTATCACCGGCTACGCGGCCTATCGCTACTTCAAGGTGAAGAAGGTTAAGTACGATACCATGGAATAAATGTATATTAGCTACCCGGAAACGCTGCCTAGGACGATGCCAAAAAATCGCGCGACGACGCACCGACGAGTCCCCCAAAAGCCAAAGAGAAGCAAATTTTAGAGAACGACCAAACTTTTTCTACGAGACGCCCTTGTCCGTGGTCCGCGTGATCATGGTCGTCGTTGTTGTTTTCGTCTCGACGGATAGAATATATTTTATGATTAGTAGACTGCGGGTTTTTATACAAAACAGAACGTTTACAGTATCGGCATAAAACATTTTATTTAAATAAAAATTTCTTTCAAGTATTGGAATATGCATGCATTTTAAATTTTTTGTATATTTCTATTATATTATTTATATTTTCTGTAAATTCAAGATTCCTATGAAATCCGCAGTCTAATGATTATGGTTCATCCTTGATTAATCGAATTAACCTTCGTGCATCAATTCATCAGACTAGCTCCAGATTAATAAATATTCAAATAAATTATTGTTGCATAAGAAAATTCTATTCGACATTATATAGGAGACAAAGGATTTGTTACAATTATAAATAACCGATTCCTGCACGAAGGTTATCGTTATTAGTGCACTTTAGGCATCGATTAGGATGCATCGTCCATTTTGAAACTTATATCGATTGCGGAACGTTGCGTAGGCGCGAGGTCTGCGAAATCTCGTCGATTTAATTATGACGCGCCAGGAAGGTAGCAGCGCGTGTTTGCGAGAAAAATGAATTTGCAAAATACATTTATTGTGAGTTTGAATCGTGATCGCGAGCTCTTATGGTTGTATTGATAGATTAACGTTCGGCGGACGTCGATTCATTCACTCTTGAGGGACACGTATTAACTTTATCTAAGGAGAGATATTTTCCTCGAACGACACTTGTTTCATATTTTTCATCACTAGTCGTCACGTAAATCACGGAAGAAAGACGTTCACATGGTTAAAGCTATTAACCCTTTCGACTTGATTAGGACACATTCAATCGGTTACTAAAATGTTCAGGCACCTTTCAAAAACTTTTTAATAATAAAATATTTAACTTTATTTATTATTTTACATTTTAATCAAAATGAAATTGTTTGGTCCAGTATTAAAAAAGTTTCAAAAGATATCCGAATACGTTCGTGACCGAAATTCTGTGATCATTTGCAGAACAATATAAAATTACGTTTAAAGTAATTATTAATTGTTACAATTAAATATTTGTATTTATTCGTAGCTTAGAAGAATTGATTTCAACAGAAGAATATAATTGAATCGAAATAGAAAAATGTCGAAGGGGTTAAAACGCAAGGACTATTGAATATGCTGCAATAAATTCATTATACTTCCTACGTACTTCCGGTTGTTCGCGAGAGCGTCGGTGTCCTCAAGATTTCGAGGAAACGAGAGCCCTGTCAGGCAGCTGAGAACTTTAGAGAAACCGTCGTGGTTACCTAGTGTTTAGGCTTTGATAATTTCTTCTTAAATTGTACATAATACATATCCAATGATCTTCTCGAGCCATTTTGAACTTCAATTCGCGTAAATGTAATCACAACAAAAATAGAATAATCGTCTTCGACCGAGTACTTTTACTTCTTAAGTCTATCTAACAATGGCTAGATTAGATCGTCTAATTTTTATCTTCTAATTCTCGATGTAACATATCGAATACGTTAAGACGATCGACGAGACTCGTGATTTATGAAACAATAATTTTTAATACTGATTCCCGAATTATTTTCATTTATTATACCCTTCCTATTCTTCGACTCATGGAAGAACGGACTTCGCGAGCTTCGTCAACCGCACTAAGATTTCGAATACCTTTAATATGTCACGAGTGTGCATTTGTTATCATCAGCCTGCGGATTTCTATGCAAACTAAATTCAGATGGAAACCTGTACTATTTCAATTCGTACTGTACTTAAATACCACGTTTTCTTGTGTTTTTTAAATGCATGAAAATCCGCGGTTCAGTTGCTGTACACATAGTCAGTGGATAGTCCATTGTTGAGCATATCTTTAAACTCTATGAAATATATTCGAGTCACGAAAATAAGCGACCATCGTTATTAGTCTTCGACTTGGCAGATGCAACAGGAGAAAATAAACATCTGGGAATAAAGAAAGATCCTAGAGGAGAATCGATTAACGGATTGATGGTGTACTAAAAAAACGTGATCTATACATATACGAGTGCGCGCGTGTACACGCGTGTACCATGAGTAAGTACATAATACAATTAAGGATTATGTGCATAACGTAAACCTCTGTCTTCCAAGCGCATATTAAAATTGAACTTTTCTTGTGTAAATATATATATATATATATATATATATATACACACACACACACACACACATACACACACATATATATGTATATATTTATTTATTTATTTTCCGTGCACGCACATACGCGTGCATGTACCGGCGTAAGTGTGCGTGTATGCACTTGCGTATGCATGTACCCATGTATATGCACGCATGCATACTGTACACATTATTATATAGACGTATGTACACGTACACGCATATAATTATATGACATATTTAGAAATTGTGAGAAAGAGAAATGTTGTATATCGCAATTGTTGGTGGCATAACGTTAGGAGTGTATTTTCGTTTTTGCGATCAGTGGCGAGATGTCCGTTTCAATCTCCATGAATAGAATTAATGGAGTCGTATTACACTTATTAGGAATGCGTCGGTATCGTCACGAAAGATGGTTTAGATGTAATTATTACAAAAATGTATTTTTGTGCTAAAGTCAATCTTATTATACATACATATACTATTATTATTATTATTATTATTATAATAATATTATACATACGTAATAGATAGCAAGTTGATCGAAGGCGGCTCGACTGCCCGTGACTTTCAAAGTTTTCCGTTCGCAATGGCAGCGCTTTAACAAGTAACAAAGTGCAATTATGTACACACGGTGGATGAACAAGGAAGTAGAGTTCACGGTAGATGACGGTGGTGGAACGCAGAAAAGTGCAAAGTCGCGGGAGTTTCCGAACAGAGAAACGGAATCAAATTGTGTGAATCGCATCGCTTGACCTATTTCTGCAACGTTGAGTCTCGTGATACGGAAACCGCGTCGAACAAACACGTTGTATCATATCGATAAAATAAAGGCTGTTATACAAGTTCGATTGTTGTATACCCTTCAATCATTCTACAATTTATGAAAATATAAATGTTCATTTTATCTTAACTCTTTTTCTAACAACCATCTATTTAGATATCACACGTATTCTATCGTAATGCTTGTTTTATTTCAATTTTTATCACACAGTGGATCACAAAAACATCCAAACACCTTTTAAAACGGGATAACTTTTTTAATATTGGACCAAGTAATACAATTTTCTGTGGGATGGTAGAAGATTCAGTTTACCATGAAATGTGTAAGACAATTTATTAAATAATTTTATCGCAGTCTTTAATAAGAGACATCCTATTTGTATTTAAATTATTTTATTTAATTCATTGAGAAGCAACAAGAATCTTT